TAGTGTAGTGGCATTGGACAATAGCCACACAATCCACAAAGCTGTGAACACGAGACTACTCAGAAAATAGATATTCAATATTTAACGCGGAGAAATACCTAAAAATGGAGAAGGCGCGAACAATGAATTGAATGAACTGGAGTTGATCGAGTGGCATGGCTCGGCCATGCAGGCGTGGTCTCTATTCATATTAAATATATTGTTCCTTCTCTAACCTAACCTTCTTCTTCATCATGTATTGGTAATTGATACGATACAGTGAGTTGGCGTAGTCGATGGTGTGACTTCCACGTAAGATCTTATAGATTAGGCAGTTATATCATGACGAATCTACAAATTTAGGATTAGGTCTATTATTAGAGCAGTACTAATATCATAGTAGACCATAGTTCAACAACTGTAGCTTCCTTACGTCACTAGGTCACCAAAACGTAGTAGATTTTCCTACTCGTTTGGATGCTCATTTAGACTTCGTTTTCATTAATGATGTGGGTATATATGCGACTCGTAAGCGTGCTCCATTGTCTAGCTCAGATCACTGTTTAATTCGTGTTCTACCTAAAGTATATGGAAAGCATGGGAAGAGTACACTCTTACATCAAACCAAGAAAGTCAAATATAGGAATTACTCAGAAGAAAATATCCGAAATCTAAAAAACATGTTTCATACGACTAACTGGGAATTATTTACAGATGACTCACTCGAAAACACTACTGATGTTATCACTTGTTACCTTAAATTCTGTTTTGATATTTGTTGTCCCACTGAAACCATTTTTGTAAGTTTTGATCGGCTTACATCTTCACAACTAAAACGACTACGGAGGATTAAAGAAAGAATGTACAAAGAGAAGAACTCAAATGAAGTTCGTAAGCTAAATGGTCTGATAAACCTAGAGATTAGACGTCTCAACTGCATGTTTACTCAAAAACTCTTATCTTGCAAAAACTCTACAAGTATGTGGAAATTCTTTAAAGAACTTACAGGTGACAGAAAGTTTAGAAGCGATAACCAGCTGAATGTTTGTGACTTAAATAAGTCTTTTGTACGTCAGTCATCTGATGTGATGCTCCCTCTATCCACGGGTTTAAAAAATAGCTGTGTTCATACGTTCACTGAAACTGATGTACGAGGATGTCTCCAGTCGCTTAATTCATCTCGATGTTTGGGTCCTGATGGTATCCCAAACCTCCTTTTTAAAAAATGTGCTGACGTTCTGTGTCATCCGTTCACAACTATTTTTAACAGATCTTTCTCATCTAATCTCATACCAAAAATGTGGAGAAAGATGAAGATAATTCCTGTACTTAAGAAAGCATCTGGTGATAAGAATGTAAAATTTAGACCTATTGCAATAACTTCACCCTTCCTCAAAACAATGGAAAAATTATTATTAATTCCACTTCAGCCTGGGATAAAAGAGCATATTGATCCATATCAGTTTGCTTACAGACGCAAAAGAAGCACTTTACATGCTGTTACTGTTCTGCATCACAACATAGTGTTCAACTTAGAAAAGGGTGAGAACTATGTTCGATGTGCTTTTCTAGACTATACTTCAGCTTTTGACTCTATACCAAGACAACGTTTACTTAACAAGTTAATCAGCGTCAACACTGACAGCTGGATAACCAACTGGCTGTGTTCCTACCTCTCTGGAAGGGAACAGTACACTGTGTTTGGAGGAAAGAGTTCAGATTCTCTACTGTCTCAGGAAGGTGTACCACAAGGAGCTGTTCTTTCACCTCTTCTATTCTCTTTTTTTCTGCATGACCTGCCATCTTCCACAGAAAACACTTTTGTGAAGTACGCGGATGATCTCACTGTATGTATGCCTATATCTTCCTCTTTACATCCCATAGAAATGAATGAGTTTTTGTCTCGTATTGATTGTTGGTCTGTTGGTAATGGTCTCATACTTAATCCATCTAAATGTCAAGCTGTTAACTTTAGTATGAGACATGAACGGAATATAAACACTATTTTGAGATCCCATAGTGCTTTTACCATCGGAGACTCTTTGATAAACGCGGTGTCGAAGGTCAATTATCTTGGTGTCACCTTTTCCTCTGATCTGTCTTGGTCTTCCCACGTTTTATCGTTATCAAAGAAGGTTTTCCGTCTGACCTACTACATAAAGAGATTGCATGCTCTTGGAATTACTCGTCATTTTCTCTTACAATTTGTCAATTCTTGCATATTACCTATTATTCTTTACTGTTCTCCATTATTCTTTCCAGGGCTTTTGAGAAAAGACTTTGCTGTATTGCGAAGAGTGCTAAAGGCAGTTAGTAAGACGTGCGGTGAATCTTTCGAGGTCATAATTAATATGGTTGTGGACAGACATTTAAAATCATGCAAACTCCTGGCAGGTGTTATTTTATCAGATACTAGCCATCCCCTTCACTCTTATCTTTCTCCTTGTATATCTTCTGGTAGAACGAGACGTAATTACATAAAAATCCTTGCACGCAAGGAAAAGTATAAAAGTTCTATTATACCTTACCTAGCAAATATACTCTGTGACGAACAGGTTGTTAGAATTAACTTAGTCAATAACTTACATTCTTAACATGTCTTTAATTTTAAAAGTTTGTAGTTTCTTTTGGTTTTTTTTTTAATTTTTATTTTATATATTTCTTTATATATTCGCTACTGTCTTTTTTGTTCGTTGTTCAGTAAGTAACTTGTTGAAATACCCTGTGCTGAGAATTCTATATTGTACCAAAATATAATATTGAATAAAGCCATTAATAATAATAATAATAATAATAATAATAATGGTGAATATGGGAAGAATCATTCAAAGTGGCATTTCTCGGCCATCCAAGCATTGTTACTGTATGTAAAACCTATTGTATCTTGTACTTGATGGTTTGCTCACAATACATCTCAAATATGTCAGTCAGCTACAACGCAGAGCCACGTACATATATGCATCGGAACAAGTTGCCATACCACATTAACACGACAAGATGAACACCGGATTCATAAAAGTAGTTAATTCAGAGGTGGTAATATATAAAAGAAAGATTGCATTTAGAGATTTAGTCACGCGGACCCCAACCAAGTAGTTTGCATCTCCCAACATGGCTCAGACTACAAGTTAGTGACTTCAAGCACTGATGCCACGTTTTGGTTTGGCCGCCCCTAACTTTCTTCCAACCATCTCCAGCACCGGCTGGTATTGAGCGTCATGGTAACCGGTGTTAAGAAGTATAAGGCGTTATATTTCTGATTTTCATGATAGTGATAGTTCGTGTGGGAAATGACGTGACAGCAACGTAATATGTTACAGATCAAGTTTTCACATCATTGCAAATCTACAATCTTGGCAAATATGTTATTTAATTGACATAAATGCATATTGTGTAGCAATGAAAGCAAGACTGGATTTCTACCTGGATCTAATTTTTAATCTTGCTCCTCCACCCAACATTTGGCTCAATTTTTAAACTATAGACTATCGCCTAATATCATTTCTTCCGGCCACTGGCTGCCTAATTTCCGATTGTTGAGTACCATTGACAAACAGCAGAGAGACAATTTCAGATGCTTCGGATCAATTAAGTGACAAGGCCGACATTCAGTTGTCTGTCGTATGGATTGGAAACAGTTTGGGCTGATAGTTGGTTTGACTGGTTAAACATAAACTGGTTCGCAATAAACTTGGCAATTACGCATTTGGGTAGTCCACTCATGATTTTATAAGGGTTATGGTAGCAAAAAGTGTAATAGGGGTTATCATGAAAGAAAATTCGTCGGTGTATCCAAACCCAGTGTTTTGCTTATTGCAATTTAGAGGCCTACTTAAGCTTAAACTTTCATGTACTTTGAGTTTCCTCTATTCATGTAGTTCCTCGTCAGTTCGCTATCATATTTTTGGTCTGTTTTCTTTAACCTATCTAAATACATATGAACGGAGATCGACATATTGAGGTAAAAAATCCTAAGTAGTTGTATTGTAACTACCCCATCTTATATGACTCAAATTCACCAGTCACGAACATTGTCTGTCCTGCTCCTCGTCGTTTTGTTTTTCCTTCTCTTTCCCGGAACCCTCAACATATACCACCAAAAACATACACGGAACATAAGACTTCGTGCTGCGTCTTCAGTAGTGCCTTCGATACTTCAACATTATTTGTAGTCATTTTCTGGAGGCCTGTTAACTTTGTCATCTGGGGACACTATCAAGAAACACAAAACAATGTCTTTAATCTGGCGTCTTCAACCCACCGCTTATACATTTACCACGTTACTTCTGGCTACAAACAGCTCTTAACCACGTTTGCATTCTTTCTCGACTGTCAGATGCCCGTCGCAACCCACATACGTAATCATCAGTGTTACCCTCACCATGCCCTTCGTTGTCCCCTCTGTCCCCATTCCTTCATTATTTTGTTCATAACCATTATTTATGATTTTTGGATATTTATCATTTATTTATAAAATTGATTTGCTTGTCGCATGTTCGTTTTGAACTTTTTCACTCTTCCAATTCACATCTAACTATTTTCAGTGCTAACAAACAAACCAATTCCTCATTATGCAGAGTTTACGAGTTCTGGCAATCCTTATGATCAGAGACAAGTGTAATCAATCCACCTCAATGCATACTGTTCCAAACGGCCAAGATATACAAAATACATTGACCAGCAAATAATTGCCAAACTGACTAAAACTATCGCAGTTTGGTGGCTTAACCACTGCTAATTGGACGTCGCCAAAGACCTGGAACCGTATAGAAATAGCAACTGGTGAGAGCCAAGAATTCAATCAGGTTCGTACATGCTCGTCACAAGATTTGGATGCAGGAAGTCAAACAGGGTTATTATAATCGAATGATCACTCTGGCCCTTATGGATACCGAAAAAAGTCAAAACTAATCTCTAAACTCAGGTCACAGATGTAAAAAAGAACATTGGTTTGAACGAACTGGTCACGAAGGTATTGGGCATTGGACATGTAGCCTTCTATCATGTTTGAAAAAATCCTGGCTACAGGTCAGCAACGTTTCATGTATATTGACTTTGGTGTAAATATTGTAGAATTTAGGGTGTTACATTCAGTAATAAACTGTCTTACAATCAGAGAAGCTTGGTCAAACAATATGGTTTAAAAATATGGTTCGCGAAAACTAAACATATGTTTAGTACTGAATATGCAGTACTGGCAACTGTTCCCAATCTCCCTATTATTAGGTAATATTCTTGGGAATTAATAGATGAAACCCGAAATTTCCCAAAACTTCGGGGATTTTTCTCAGGCCTGGGAAAACTTCGGGGAAATGGCACAAAAAACTCGAAATTATCGCATAGTTTTCTATTACAGTTTCCCTCAAAATTTACCCATGGTAGATAAAAGATTTCCGGAAAATAGAGTTGTTGGGTTGTTTTCGTTTACAATCGTAAAATACGAATAAGCGATAGCAAGGAACTGAAAGTAGGAATCTCTAGCAAGAATCGATATGCTCTTCAGCAGCAATGTTTACAGATGTCTTTTAAATATGCATTGGGAGAAATGGTGAATCCTTTCCTATATCTCACTAAAGAAATATCTCTTAATTCACACTTCAATCTCCGCCTAAACTTGCATCAATGTACCAATGCTGATATTCTCTCAAACTACTGTTTAAATATTTGCAAATAGACGGTTTATCACGTGAAAATCGAACTTCCAAACCAATCAAACTGCGTCGTAAGTTAGTCTCTCTCGGGAGATAGTGTCAAAGAAGCAACATTTAGGAGCAAATTAGGCTATTCGACGTAAGTTTAGGCAGAGACTGAAATGTGAATTCAGAGTCAAGTTTCCCAATGGAGCACAAAAAAAGCTCACTTCTAGTGGCAGGTGCAATAGACAATATATAGGTCAATTGTTGCTGAAATGCATATCGCATTTTGATAGAAAATATTACCTATATTTCCTGATTGGATTTTACCTAGGTAAATCAAGTGTTCTCTGCTTGTTGTCACGTCTTTCCCCAAGTGACCCTCGTCATTTTCTAATCATTCTTGTTTCGTATTCTACAGTTCTGATTTTTACTGATATAATAAGGGATAGAAAGATTCATGTCCAAAATATGATTATTGAAATAGTAGCAACTCAATCGTAAGCAATGTAGTCTGGCACTAGTGTGGGTTAGCCACATCTCATTAGCACGAGACGAATACTAAAGAGGTCAAAAAGTTAGCTTTTGACAGTCTCTATCCATACAAGTTACCGCTGATCCTAATATTCGGACGATCTTTCATTCCTCTGTTCTCTAACTAGGGAATTCCAAATTAGAATAATCACTTTTGTTTGCCACTAATGTACTTGAAAAACGTCTGACAATTGTTTACCTATGATTGAAAGTTCACATGGCCGCATTATTTTCTGTGGTTTATTAGTATTATTAATTATTCAGACAATTTATTTATTTGAACACAAATATTGCTACACGGGGGCACCAAATATACATGTGCCACACAAAGCAATGAGAATGGGGAGTAAGAAAGAAGGTAAGGTGCGTATAAGAAATAAAAAAAGAACAATAACGACCACAGCTTAGTGTATGGTAGTGTAATGATAATAATGCGAGAAACAGAAAGGTACAACCAGAAGAATTCTTTCAGTTAAGGGAGATACAACCACTTTTTATGAAGAAAGTAAAAGAAGATCACAGTAGGATCGCCACTGGCTTCTATTCTGAGCCATATCTGATAACGTCTCTAGCCACTGTGTTGCACCATCTCTCAGACCCCAACCAGGGAGTCGTGAAGGACCGACAGAAGACAGTCCTTTGCAGCTTTCTTTCATGCCACGACACCATGTCATACACTGACCACCTCTCCGCTTCTTCCAACCAGTCCCAGAGTCGGCAAATAATGCACGACGTGGAATTCTCTGAGACGACATTCGTAGGACATGTCCAAGCCACCGAAGTCGATGTTTCGAGATGGTGACACCAATTGAACTATCGTCTCTGCGCCCGAACACACGATGCCGAACCTCTTCATTACTGACATGGTGTTACCGCTGAATGTCAGCAATCCTTCGGAGACAGCGATGATCGAACACAGAGTCGTCTAACGTCCTCAACTCGGAGAGGGCAGGTTTCACAAGCATAGAGTAAAACTGCACTCACCGACGCGTTGTAGATTCGACCTTTTACAGTCAGACTAACATCACGAAGGCGCCAAAGGTGGCCCAGATTGGCATAAGCCGCTCCGGCTTTCACTATACGTGCATTGATCTCATCACTCACGCCACCACCAGCACTTATGCATCTACCCAGGTACACAAATTCCCGACTACTTCTACCTGCTCACCACCCAAAGTGAGTACATGATCAGAATCCTGCCAGTCTTGTAAAAGTACTTTGTACTTCGAAGATGCAAAGCACATACCGTACATACGGACATTGATTGCCAACTGATTAAGTGCGGATTGCTCGACTGTTGTTACTACTTTGACGTGGTGGTCGGGCTTGCCTAACGTGACGAAGCAACCGAGCTATACTGGCTGCAACAACTGTTCCTTAAGGTCCTACCATTTCATAAAGGTCGGTTGATGAGCGGTAAGGTCATTTCGGCGAGCTGAGGTCGAGTGACTGACCACACTAGGGTCCTGTGTGAGTGTTTCTGAGACAGCATACATTAATGGTACGAGATTCCAGGGTCTTAGTCAAGGAGGTCTGCTGGCCGATTCGACATAGGGTGTGTACGTTGAAGTCTCCAATGTGTAGTTTGGAGAGAGGTTTCAGTAGACCTGGAACAGTGTTTCGCGTACTAGAATAGTTGGCCAGGGTGACACTTGAGGAGGAAGCCAAAAGAGGAATTTTAGGGTTGAAAGTCGAGGTGGGAGGAATAATAGGAATTGAAGAGGGAGGTTGATTTTGAATACAGTGGTCTTGAGTACTATTAGAAGTATGAAAGCGGTTTTTACTTCCCGATCGCTCACACTGTGGAAGGGTTTATCTGGACGTACCTGAAAAGGGCAAGAGGTGGTCTTAGTAACCTGAGGACGAATGCCTAAAGCCAGTCACACACGACCTTCTTGTGGGTAATTTTTTTGTTAGCTCCGTGCTTCTTGGGACCTCACCGCTGGAGACGGAAATCCGTGGGATAAGGCGAGGTGTGCATTCTTAAGGTCAATCTTTTCTAACCCCATCCTTCCTTGTGAGAAGGCAGCATAGCAAAGTTGGTGGTGTGAGTGATGAGACCAATTCGTGTATAGTAAAAAACAGAGCGGTTTACCCGTATCTGAGTCATGTTTGGAGCCTTGATATTGCTAGTCTGGCTGTAAAAGATCGGATCTATAACGCGTCAGTTAGACCAGTTTTGCTCTATGCTTGTGAAACTCGGTCTTCCCTGATTGAGGATGTTAGACAACTCTGCGTTTGATCGTTGGCATTCTGACATTCAAGGGTAACAACATGTTAGTAATGCAGAGGTTCAGTAGCGTGCGTTTTTATACGGTGACGACAATTCAATCAGTGTCACCATCATGAAACACCGACTTCGATTGCTCGAACATGCACTATGTCGTTCCAGTGAATTCCACATCGTGCATTGGAAATCATTGGCGGGCGGCCAATGCCACAGGGTGAGACCAATTGTAAACGAATGAAACAATTAGCTACACTTTCGTTTGAATACGGAGAACAGATAACAACTGACTCATGAGTTCAATCTGTGAAAATTTCTAAAAATCTCCACAAAACACATTCTGATAATAGGAATACAGATATTAGGGTATATATTAAAGGATGAAGTAAGAGGACAAGGCGTTGGATTATAACACAATGTTGAAAACTTAAGAAAACTGTGGGCATTTGGGCTGGTTTTAGAGAAAATTTCCTTTAATATACCAGCAGCCGTTTATATTGTATGGATGACAACCCAGGACTGCCTTAAATTCCCGAAGGAGTACCTAGTCAAACGATATCAAGTTGCTCTGGATATCAGAGATGCAAATCGTGGACAAAAATCGGTAATTTAAATCAAAATTGTATGTTTTCTCCGGCGAAGCATTAGTCAAGGAAAATGTTTAAACTGCGTTTACTTGATAAGGTAACTAACGAAACAACCAATTTTATTACTATAATAGGCAAAAGCGGTTATCAGATTGAATCTTACGATTGTCTGATTCCTTAGTTTAAATTTATTGAGACTCCCAAAAACGATCTTAGTGAGTCGATAATCGCTTTTGAAGAACCATCACTTAGCAAACTTGAAAAAATAAAGCGTACGAGAACTTACCATAACATTGTCCTTGTAAGACAAGCTGGGTGAAAGACCAACGAATTCCACTTAGGAATGACGCTGCGAGAACAAGAAGGAATCCAATGTAATTGAACTGTGTAGACTCATATGAAAACATAAAAAGCCCACAGGTAATCAGAACGACAATGATGGCTAAGGATGGTTGCTAAAAGTTTATTTGAATCACACCAACCTACCTTTTTCTCCTGTTTTAATAAAACAGAAAACATCACAATAAAAATGACGCTGGTAGATTTTGTCATTGTGTACCTGAGTTTTTAAGATTATCGTTTGCAAAAGAACATACAATGATACTGTAATGAACTCAAAACTCCAATTTGAACAACCAATATCTAGGGCACTTGTTAACAAAATATTTACAAGCCTTTAAATTGTACCTAGAGATCCCAGAGACAGCAACAACCCTCACATACTTCGCCCACGGAAGCTCTATTCTTGGACAGTTATACAACCACGATAGTGAACACCTTACGAACCATGACAATAAGAATTTAATGATCATGTGCAGTAAAGTGATTGAGAGTGGATATGGGAACACCTAACTTTTAAAATTATTCGATGAAATTTCGCACTTTTATACAACGGCTGTTGAAAAATGTAAGGCATATTGAGAAACAATAGAACATAAACACTGTGCAAAGAGTTTTCAGTGGGTTAGGCATGATGGAACGTGTATGATTGCTAAAAATTAATATTTGACTGGTAATTTTTAGAAGTTTCAGCTACTTGAAAGATTTTAGGTCGTGGTGTTAGAAGAATTGTAAGAAAACTGTTTGATAGGTAAACGGTCAGCAACTGAAGTGGTCTTATGATCACAGGTAAACAATCTACAAGGAAGTAAACAACAGAACTAGCAAGGGTTGAACGTCAATAAGACTGTTTGGATTTGCTTACACTCAAAACCCAAACTGGGAATCATACAAGGCAACGCTTCAGGGGTATCGTCCACCCATAAAGGTTGCGAGCACTTGAAGGTCAAACTGTCGCAAGATGACTGGTGCATCACATCGACAATTCGCGAAAATTTTCAGAAGCGGTCAAATCAAGACATTTTTAGAATTGAGAAGCATTTAAAAGTAGCGGCAAAGATTAACCGGTCGACATGGACGTGTCCTAGTTGAGGTATATCACATGTTGTCATGCAAACTGTACACCATGCACTTTTCTATCCTCTCTAAAGTTGAAGGGGGGGCATTCAAAGAATCATTTGTAATATGCTGCACAACTTATGCCAAGAAGTTACACGATTTGACAATTTTTTTCCTGCTATATGTTCAGCTGCGTTATGTTACATGTGTGAAGTTAACTTGTTAACGATACCTTATATGTCCAGAGTTGACAACGCTTCTGTCTGCAACATCTTTTTAATCGAAGGATGCCAACTCAGTCAGATCATAAGTCAGGAATTAATGAGTTATGAGATATATTTAG